TTTATAAGCCTTTTGAGATTAATAGGGAAGGGAAAAAGAATTGGTGGGCTTAGAATTGTTTCTGGAGTCACACCTCTCGTTGGTTAAAGACTTCATTTGTAAAACAAGAACATTTGTTTTTAATACCTTCAGAATTGGGTTGCCACCTAAATTGTGGCAAAGTGCTGACAAATCCATCCACTTACTGTTGGAATGTTTCTTTCCCTCTGGGTATATTTCTTATCAGGCTCTGACATTTATTTCCAATTTGGCCAATTTTTTTATCAAAAAGTTATTAAATCCTTTCTTATTAGGTTTCAACTGGGAGAAACAGTAAATATTTCTGGCAGTATTAAACAATCCCAAGGATCCAAGAGGGTGCAGATGTTATTACTTTGAGTGTTGCACTCTGATAGCCAAAAGAAAGGACAGCTTTCATGTCCCAGTTTCCCAGTGACACACAATGTCTGTTTCCACAACGTAATCAGGTAAAAGAGATGCAATCAGTTAAAGCTGACATAAATTTTTTTTTTAATAGAATGCCTGTTTAAACATCCCAATTTCTTACAACCTTGTCAATCCTTATATTTCCTTATTCTTTTCATCTAATTATAGCCTGAGTCACAGCTTCACCAATGGGTTTTGGTACCATGGTTCATGAATTCCCATATCAAAGAGTTCTGAAAATATCTCTTTTCTATCTTCTGACCATTTTATCCACTCTTGAGTAAAAAGGTTTTGGGTCAAGGGGTCAAGCCATGTTATCAATCTTGAATTTGATTTAACCAGCCTGGTGATTGCTAGTCCAGTTTCTCATTGTAATCTCTTCCGGTCTTTTAAATTTCTCTACAATGGGGTAAATAGAGCAGACTTGTTTGGGGCCCTTTAATCTTGGAGGGCCAGCAGGGGGTCAACTTAGTTTATGCAGCCTTTGTTAGTGCTGTACTAAAACATTTGTTTTAAACCAATTCGTTTTATTTAGCTCAATTTTGGTTTATTTAATTGGCACATTCCTTATAATCATCATTGTCAGTTTTAGGTTATAATTTCCTTGAGGGATGGCAGTAGTTTGGTAGGACCCTAGTTATGAATGGAGTTTAGCCCACATCTCTGTCTAGCCATTTTGGAGATTCCAACTTGACAGTTACCAAGCCGAATTCTTAGGACATAAAATTTTAGGTTGTTTTTAAGTAAGATTTTGCCACTTTTCTTTCTTTCATTTGTCTCCTTAAGTGCAGGACAGTTGTACTTCCAGTGTCCTGCTTTTTTTGTTGTTGTTGTTGTTTGTAATGTTTTTACAGTATTTGCAAATGTCTGAAGGCAAATAGGAAGGGGACTTAGTGGACTTTGAATTTTGTTCTAATTTCTGTCCTTCCATCTTATTCAGGGAATCTTAATGACTAGCTATTATAGCAACATGAGCGCTCTCTAAGAAAAATTTCTTTCCAATTTAGAAGTTTTTCCAGTTAAAAGGATCCATTGACTGACCTGGACAGTAGGATCTGTAGTGACTCAAACCAATACTATGGATGCAAGAAGCATTCCTAAAGGAGAGTGCAAAAAGATGCAACCCTCACAAGAAACTTGACTCCCAGAGTTAGCCCAAGAAAGATGGGGAGGCCTGTCTTAAAGCTGTTCCAATACGGAATCGTGCTTTCCCCCTCGAACAGAATAAGGTTTAAGATTCCCTAAGCTTGGATTCACAGCCTGTTTGGCTACCTGCCGGATGCATAAGCATCCTCCAGCTGGCAGACATAATAGATTATTTCTGGGAGGAACAGGATAGACACAGAAAACTCCCTTGAGGGCTTGTCATGGCCCGATAGAGAACAAGGTGCACCTTGGCAAGTATACCCTCTGGATGATAGAAGCCAGAGAGAAAATATTCTCACCAGTCATAAGGCCAAGGTGTCAGGACATATAACAAGATGAAAGGAGAGAAACCATACAGAAACAGACAAAAACAACACCCATGAGTATGGTATACCAAGTAATCAGGAATTGCTAGTCCAAGAAATGAATTTCACAGGTATTTTCTCCTGCCAGCGTAAATTTAGAAGAAAGATTCTCACCACTTTCGCTTCCACCAGATCCTACAGAGATCTGGGGGTGTACTGACACGGTAAGAACCCTTACCTTCTGCTGGCTGTGTCAGATGCTCTGTGTCTCATCTGCAGCAGTCTCGTGGGGAATCACGGGGTTCCAGCCAGTGAGTTTATCCTGCTCATCACGCCAACTGTGTGGGAAGAACAAACTCTCCTCTACCCTCAAGGTTTTTCTGGCTGGTCTAATAATCAAATAGACATGAGAGACAGATTAGCAAGAGAAAATAACCAAATTTTATACGTACATATATTTGGGAGTCCCACGTACATGAGAGTCAGAGACCACATGCACGAGAGGTTCTAGTATGACTCTTAAGTCTCTTTGAATAAACAATTTCCCTCCATATTTTTTCTGTTGTAATTTAGTTTTTGAGGAAACAGATCATTTGCTGCCTTTAGATTTAGCTTACGTTTAGGTCTTGATATTGTTCAGTATGTTCCTCTGACCTTCACATTGCCTGTTAACGGTTTGGTAGATCTGGAGTCTTGATGAAATTCAGGTTGGATTATTCTTTTTTTTTTTTTTTAGCAGGAATACTTAATGGGTGATGTAATGAAATGAATTCCTATATCATGCCAGGAGGCACATAAAATCTGGTTATTCTTTTGTGATGTTAAAATTTATCAGTGGATGCAGATGTTATTAGCTGAACCATCCATTGTATACTTATCTTCAGCCTTTCACCTGAAACAATTGAGCAACCTTAATGATTATTGTCTAAAATTATTATTTGGTTAGGAGTAGTGAAATACTGATATTCTAATTGTGTCCTAACTTCTCCATTTATTATCTAGAATCATTGTATAAGGAACTTTTTCTCACTATTTATTTGGTTATCAAGCAATACAAATTCTATAGAAAAAAATTTAATATAAATCTGATTATCTTAATTACCTTTACTCACAGTAAAAAAAATCCATACTTGTTTGATCAAACCATTTTTCCCATAACCACCTTATTGACACATCATGCAAATTTCTCTCCATTTACATAGAGCTATTTGCTGTTCCCCAAACTCATGTATTTTCCTATCTCCACATCTTTGCCTTTGTTTCATTTAGGAAATGACCTCCGTCGCTCCCCATTCTGTATTAAACTTCTCAACTTCCAACTTATATTTCTCAACTAATATAAACTTATTCCCCCATGGAGAATGTACAGTTGTCACTTGAACAACATAGGTTTGACTATGTGGATCAACTTATACACAGATTTGTTTTCAATGAATACTGTAAATATATTTTCTCTTCATTATGATTTTCTTAACATTTTTTTCTCTAGCTTTATTGTAAGAATATATTATATAATATATACAACATACAAAATATGTATTTATCAATTGTTTACATTATCGGTAAGGCTTTTGACTAACAGTAGGCTACGAGTAGTTAAATTTGGGAGAGTCAGAAGTTACATATGGATTCTCAACTGAGCAGTGGGTCGGCGCCCCTAACCCCCATGTTGTTCAAGGGTCAACTGTACTTTTTCTTTTTTGGGCCCTCAGTTTTGTTTTTAACACCTTACTTGTGTTTTTAACTGTGTCTTCTTCTTTTTCTCTTCTTCTGAAACTTAGGTCTTTTTATTTTCCAAGTCTTTTAAGTTGCTGGATCAGAAACATAAATTATTCATTTTTGTGTTCTCAGGACTGACATAATGGCTGGTTCTAAATTGCTCAGAAACTGTTCACAGATTGTTCATCTAGTTGCTAGAAGACTAAAAGAAACCCTATTTTAGTCTTCAGTTTTTTTGGTTTTTTTTAATTGGGGAATCAGGGAAGGGGAACAGACAAGTTGCTGTCCTTTTGTTATTCAGTCTAGTTGTGGAGGATGTTGCTTCACTGGCCTAAGTTGGCACCATCATTGCGCTCTTCCCGGGCGAGGCAGATCAGTCGCCGGCTTCTGGACGGCCGCTCACTGCGACTGCTGGCCGCTCACGCTGGCTGCTGGCTACATACCGGTAGCCCATGGCAACCCACTGCAGCAGGGGCTGCAGCCTACGCCGTGGCCGGCGACTCACGGCAGCCCAGCTCCAGGTTGAGCTGCTGTTCAGCATCTTAGCTGTAGAGGGCAGTGTCCTTGGCCCTCATATGTGGGATCCGAACCGGGGCCCTCTGGCGTCCCAAGCCAGCTCTTAACCATCGTGCCACTCGGCCGGCCCAGTCTTCAGTTTTGAAAAATGAGTAATTGATGGATGAACTGTAGAACAAATAGCAGAAATACTCTATTGGATTTCTTTCTTCCACAAAATATTATGTAAAACTAGATATTTAATATGCATCCTATTTGAAAAGCCATTTTTAAAAAGTACTTGGGGGCCGGCTGAATGGTTCAGTTGGTTAAGATCTTGCTCAAGAGTTTTAGCTCTGAGCAACAGCGGTTCAAGTCCCTGTCCGAGCTGAGCAGCCACTGAGCTGCCAACAGGTGGCAGGATGGCTCAGCTAAAAAAAAAAAATACTTGGATTACACAGGTGTATGCATTTGTCAAAACTTCAAATGATACACCGAGGATTTATGCATTTTATTATATGTAAATATTACCTAATAAAGGGTAAACAAATATACTCCAGTTAATGATTTGTATTCTGAACTACCTAGGAGGAAGTGTACTGGTCTGCAGTTTATTTTGAAATGCACAGAACAGTAAAATAGATTGATGGATGGATAAAAGGATGGGTAAATGTGTAATAAAACAAGTAGAGTAAAATGTTAGTGATAGATCCCAAATAGGTTTTTACTCTATAATTCTTTAAAGATTTTTGTGTGTTTTTAAATCTTTATAATAACATGTTAGAGGAGGGGCGATTTTTAAAAAGAGGGAGTAAATTAACAACCAAATCCAAATTCCATATTCCTAAATGTAGTCTCTCCATTCCCCAAAGCTAACTATTCACATTGAAAAAGAATGTGCTCTTACAGGGATCAGTGTGCTTCAGAGATGTGGCTGTAGATTTCAGCAGAGAGGAGTGGCAGCATCTAGACCTTGCTCAGAAAAACCTGTACCGGGATGTGATGCTGGAGACCTACAGCCATCTGCTCTCAGTTGGTAAGCACAGACACCTGGGTATCTGAGGGAAGGCCCCACTGAGAGTTTTTATTCTCAGTTGCTAAATGCTGTGAGATGTCTGAAATATGTAATCGTTTTCTCCTTGATTTGTCTAGGATTCTTTAACCCTTTGGGGCACTCTGAATATTACTCTGTTCCCAGAGATATATGGTTACTTTCCTGAAGAACAAAGCATCATTCAACAAGACTTTATTGATTGAGCTCTGAAACAACTGGCTGTACTCAGTCCTTTATCATTTCTCATGAATAGGGTATCAAGTTCGTGAACCAGAGGTTTTCATGTTGGAGCAAGGAAAGAAGTCATGGACATTGCAGGATGAGAGCCCACATCAGAGCTTTTCAGGTGAGTGTGACCCAGACAGGAGACAGTGGAGTAAATCTCAGTTGTCTTAAGAAAGATTAGTGTTTTGAAATGCTATGAAGATGACTCTTCTTGAAGGTTCTAAATTTTTTGTATTGCTTGAGGACCCTTGACAGTGG